GCGCTTACAGTGAAAAATTTCGAGGGGGAGTCTCGATCAATTAAAGACGAAATTCCGACAAATTGCCATTGAGAGAAACAATATTATTAATCGACGATCGGGGATTTCGGCTTCTTCGGGTATCCGCCTCTGAATTCGATTCGTAGCACGCGGGGATGAAGGATCAATCGCGCAAATGCAAACGACAGCATCTTGTATTTTAAGAAGAACCGATGTGTATCATTTTGCAAATTAGATCCAGGCTCACTCTTTGATCGCGCGCCTCGCGAATGAAAGATTTTCTTATAATAATCGTATGTTACGTGACGCATTTCAATACGTGGCGTCTCTTCTCTTTAAAGTGACAAGATTCGCGCAACGTAAAATTCTTTCTCGCATCGCAAAATTCGATAAGTTTCAGATTCTTTTTAAGATACCTCGGTCACCCGACGTTACGCGAAATCGTCGAATAAAAACACGGGAAGCTTCATACATCTTTCCGCTTCGTCAGCCTTTCTGCATGTCGTCATATGTACACGGAGAGAATTTTTTTTTTAATTTACCCTGCAAATCATGTTAATTGTGGGACAATATAGTATTTAGGCAAATTTTACTGAGCACTACAATACATTTTACAGTAGTAAAATACAGTAAAATTTATTGTAGTGTACAGTAAAATTTGCCTAAATACTATATTGTCTCACAATTAACATGATTTGCAGGGTAAATTAAAAAAAATTCTCTCCGTGTACTATTGGATACTGTGAGTTATGCGTCGTGCGTACGCGCGTTTTGGAAAATGCATGCGACATTCCCGTTTTGATCCTTCCCCTCGCTACGAGGTTTATCGTCCTTATCGATTTGTCGGCACGCGCGTCTCAATGTCAGATGCATCTTCATCGATGTGTGCATGAAGATACATCTACGTTGCTCGATTTTCCGAACGTTTTACGATGTTGATTGACGCCTCTTCCATTCTTACGACGATAATGATAATATCATGCAACTTGAAGATCGCGGCACGGCCGTTTAGCTATGTACTCCACAAAAGATGTTCAATGCCTCCCCCTCCCACACATTTATGCAAAAAAAACAGAATATATATATATGTATATATTAACTTTCCATAAATCCCAATTTTATCGTTTTCAATTTTTCAATTCGAACGTACGAGTTATTAAAATGCTGCCGACATGGAAGCAAAAAAAAATTCATTCGACTCACATTTCTCGTACTCAGTTCAACCCCTTTTTCCTTTCATGCTAATAATAATTAAATTTTGATTTAACGCACAATCTATAAATAAGTAAGCCTTCACGTTAATTAACTGCGAGCTCGTCGAGATTATCCCCGAGACGCACACAGAACGCGCATGTATTATGTAAATCGCGTGTACTATTATCTTTACTATTTTAGACGTAATCGTATTCGACGATCTATGTATACAAGTTTGCAATTAACGCTCGTTTATCGCCGAGTAATCAAACGTAATCAACGTTGTCCTTGATAATGGCAACTAATTCCCGAGACTTAACGCGGTGGACACGGTTAATTATTTCGGTTAGTAAGTTGGCACCTGTTCCGGCCGTCCGCGTGAATTTCTCCTTCGCAATTAAACGCACGTTTAAGTCTACATAAATACAATGATTATAATAACGAAATGCGCTCCCGACACGCAAGATTCCCTATTCTAAATCTTCAATTCGCAAGGCAAAGGCGCGCGTGCGCGCGCACGCGCGCGATATACGAGTAACTTCTTTTTTTTTCGCTCATTTTCTTCAACGTTACGGTTACACATATATAAATCACATATAAAAGAAAACAACGCAATAATCAACAAAATTTAAACAATATATTAGTGGTAAAAATATACGCTCGTTCCGATTTTGTAATTCCGATTACTATCAGCCTCGCTTCTTACTACCACCACGCTTCTGGATATTTCGGCGGGTCGAGTTGCGATTTGTAGCTCTATAATCTTAATCATTAAGTACCCTCCGATCACTACATTCGTATTTTTTTTTTTTTTTTAAGCAACGCGCTGACGTTATCTTTTGATTGGCACGGCGCCAAAAAATAACAAGGGGGAGGGGCGGGGTGACGGCATAAAAATCGTTCGCAAGATGTTTAGTCTGAAATTCTGAAATAAGTCACCAAATCGATATTTGTTTCATGTAAAATAAATGTTAATTCGAAAGAGAGGAATAGCCTTAAAAAAAAAGGAAGAAAAATGCCTGTATTAGCTAAGTATCGTTGTTCGCGAGTTCGTTCATGCCGCCATTTGAATAAAAGCGATGGAAATGCGACGAGGAGGAGAGCGAAATGAGCTCGCCGCCTTTTATAGATAACGGAAGGCTTAATTCCGCCGACGGTCGATTCATCTCTGGCTCATCTCTGGTAGATTAATTTGTCCGATCGATGAGCGCCGCGAGTGACCCGGGTGCTACGACGCGAAGGGGGAAGATACGGAGCACGACGTTCGACTTCCACTTAGGAATATTAATAAAGCTCGAATTGTGTAGGTGGAATTCTCACAATGCGAAGCTGAGTCGGCGAGATAGATTTTTTTTTTAGCGCTAGGTACGCCGAACCGAGTCGGGTGATATAACGAGTGTTCTCTGTTCATCGAAATTAATACACGAGATGCGGTAAAAGGACTTTAAAGAACAGGTGTCTCGATAGGTCTTGACGAACATTGGGTCATGAACTAGAATGTGATCATACCGAAATTTAGAAGATTTATGCCTTTCATCTTTCCAACTTACTTTATTATACCTCAAACGTACATATCTGACTGCATATAACAATAACATTTCTACACTATGTATCCACATCAATATCTTTCTTATTCTACGTTCCACAATATCCTACATATATAGGATTATGTCAAGATTAAGAATTGGACCGAGTTTTTTGAGTATCCGCCACTCGACGCGGCGTGTCGAGTGGATCCAAATGATGATCTATACGGATATAACGTTCGATCGACGGATAATTAAGCTCCGTTCATGCCAGACGGCTGCTGGCCCCCAGAAGCTCGCGTTTTGCGGAAATACGCGGGGCGAGGTGAAACGAGGTGGCGGCGATCGAGCGTCCGCAGGGCCTCGAGATATACGCGAGATATACGCGAGAGGCGTCTTGGGAGAAGAGGGAGAAGGGACGGTGGTGGTAGTAGAGCGATAGGCGATAGGCCGGCAATAGAGGCACTCCGGCCGCGCCGGCGGCTGGATCTCCTTAGCATTAACACGCGATATACCTGAAAAACCAGTTTGCGGGCTTTTTATTAGGCCTTTACTTTCGCTCGCGAACTGAAAGTAAGAGTGAGCGAGCGAGCGAGGCAAACGAGGCCTGTTAGCGAGCGAGCTAACTAACGGGGTCACCAGTCGATACGGATACGCACGTAAACGGAGACGGAGACACGCGCGCGCATATACACACACACATACACACACACATATACACACGCACGCATGCATACGCGCGCACACACGCAGAAACATACGCGCGCGGATGTGCGTGGAGAAAGAGATGAGGAAAAGAAGAGATGATAGAGACGCGTACGTACGTAAAAGTACGTACGCACATGTGCACGTGCACATGAATATATACATGTGTATATATACATGCGTATACATACATGTGTCCGTCACTTACACGCAACGAGACCCCGTGCGCCGCGCGCTGCCTCCGCGTATGTATAACGCGCGTATACACGCGCGGACGCACGCGCGCGCGCGCGGTACTGAATGTTTACGATATCTAGTGAAGAAAATGCGGGCCGAGTTACGCCGCTTACGAGAAGAGAGGAGAGAGAGAGAGAGAGAAAAAGAGACCGGGGTCTGCGTTACGTCGTGCCGATCAGCCGTGATTCGTGATATTACTCTCTTTGTTCAATATACGAGTCGCGTTCCCCGTTCGACGTATACACGGAGGTATATAGTTTTACGCTCCCTCGTCCTCGCGCTCACACTCCTATCTCTCTCATCCTCCATCATGTCCTCTTTTTCTTAAGCTCGGTCTCTGCTCCTTGTCTCCTCATCATTTGTCCTTTCCTTCCTCTTTCTCGCACGCCGCCGCCGCGAGTTTCAGGCTGCATGGAAACGCGCCACCTTCGAAACGAATGTCCGGGGACCCGTGATTAATATTTCACCGCGCGCGGGTTTCTGTCGCCGACAGCCGCAGTTTTCTTTCAACGATAGATAATACGTGAGTAAGTAAAAAAGAGAGGGGCGAAAAAAAATAAACGTGATGCGACAGTTTTCGGATGGGAGTGGACCAAAAAGTTCTCGTTTGGCGAGTTCTCCCCGGCGCGCGCGCGCGGGAATGTGATGCAGAGTTTCGGGCGCGAGCTACGGCGCGATATATGCGAGTGTCGGGACAACGGCACTGGATGGATACAGCGTATCGACATATTCCGACAATGCTCGACGTGACCCTTCGCTCTCGAACTACTGCTTCTGCAAACGTTTCGAAAAATATTTATAGAATAATCCTCCGCTCGTCTTCGAGCATATCTCGCCGTGACTCGCCTGAATTATGCTGCAAGGTTTTTTCGTCGCGTTACATGGGATTCATATCCGGCTCTCCGACGAGAGGGAGAGAGATCTAATCATCTGCCCATTAAAAAAAAAACGATTACAGCTACAATTTCCTTTTTTTAGCGTATCTTTTCCGTTTTTCCCGCTTCAGCACTTATGTAGTATTTATCGCCCAAAGAAAAGCACGATCGGTCAGACACGTCCGGTGGATATGTGAATGTACGTCCCTGCGTGTGTGTGTGTGTGTGTGTGTGTGTGTGTGTGTGTGTGTGTGTGTGTGTGTATGTGTGTGTATTTTTACCGTATTTACGCTCGCTCGCGTTCTCGTAGAAATGAAAGAAAGAAACGCGACTTGGAAGCGTTTCCCTCTCGATACGCGCGCACCGCCCGTGTGCTCGTTCCCCCTTCGGTGCATCCCCGGCCGTGCCGCCCCGCTAACATTATCTTCTCGAATTAAATCTTATCACGTTATACACAGTACCTAAATGAAATGTGTTCACAGCCACACATTAATTATTTATACATAAATTTATACATATATCTGTATATATTTAAATATATTTATATTTATATATATTTATATATAGCTTTCCGTAGCCCGCAACGTGTGTATTCTCCCTCACCGTGAACAGCCCTGTCCTATTCCTTCTGTTTCTCTCTCGGTCTCTCCCTCCCCTTGTTGCTCGGTACGCGATCAGCTCCGCGAGAGAGAAAAATCAGGCGGGAGGAGGCAAAGGAAAGATCGAAACATGGGGATCGCGTCTCGCTCGAGCCGTCTGTTCGTTCCAAACGCTCTCTCCTCTCCTCCCTGTTTGTACGAAGCTCCGCCGTGGCATATTCCAGTTCTCGCGTCCGTCTTCAGCTCTTCTCTCTTCGTTTCCGCTTCCTCCTTAACGTGGGCCTCGTCCAGAATCCACTGTACGCAACGTCGACGTCCGCTTTGTCGACAAACGCTCGTTCCGGGACGATGCCGATATCCGTTTCTCCGAAAATTCGTGTTTAGTCAATAAAAGCGGCGCTCGTTCCACTAATCTAAGACCATCTTGCCCTCTTTTACTACGGTTACGTCTGTCTTTTTTTTTTTATTAATTCGTCGGAGGAACGTCTTTTCCGTCGTATCTTCCTGTAGTCTTCTCCGATCTCTCTTTTTTTATATTTTTTTTTAGGCACAACACATCGTTTCTGGAGTCTTTATAGTCTTTTTGTTGTTTCACACCGCAACTGTATTGGCCAGCGTTCGGTTTTCTTCGCTGCAGCAACCGCCGCCCGAGTTTACAAATGCCGAGTAAGAGCAGCACTCGCGACAAAAATGCTTCGCGGCCTATATACATGCCTACCGCTTCTCACATCATCGACGATATCATACGTTCGCCGTCCGAGCACGCCGCCTATTCGATCCACGATTCCGTTGTTACTGCGTTCACCGACGATTATCCCCGACGCCGAAGAGACGATTTCTTTCGTATACCGCTCCTGCACCCGAGCTCGCATCACCCCGACGAACGTCAACTAAGGAGCTTAGATTCTTTGACGTTGGACACGGAATGATCGGCATCTGCCTCCACACTTTTGGGCACCTCGCAAGGACCACAAGCACAACAAAAGTCTCCGGGATCTTCGAGAGGACAGTAGAGGCCGTAGAAGCAGAGGTAACAGAATTCGCCCTCGAGTTCGTATCTCTGATACCAATGGCTGTAAGAGTCGATGTGGCTGAGTCGGTTAAAGCAGCAACAATCGGTGACCGTGGTGGTTACGGTGGTTGCGGTGGCGACGTCTAGGGATACGACGTTATCGCCGATATCGTCGCATCACGAGGAGCACGCCATCCAGTTGCAGGTGCACGTGTAGCATGCCGCCGTTGGTATCACGGGCGCGTAGTAATAGCCGTTGGCGTATACATAGGTTGCAGGCGGACCCTGCGGCGCCTGCTGATGACTCGTCAGCCGCTGCTGCTGTTCCTGGCAGAGCACCTGATAGGCTAGGTTCTGGATCAGGGCGAGTGTCTGCCGTCGCTCGTGACCCATCAGGCATACGGTAGATTCCTCGACGACGCTATGCAGCAGCATCAGGTACTGATACTTCAGGGCCTCTTCCTCGGGCCCGACGAAGTGATTCCACAGATAATTCTCAAGCTTGGAGCGCTGCTGACCTATGTCCGGGAAATCGATGAAGAATCTCGAACACATGTATCGCTCGAGGGTCTTGATGTAATCCGGCTGAGACGGTTTGTACATCTTCACCAGTAGGTTGCAATATTTGAGCAGGCCGCCGCCGCGTATCTCCTCCGGATGCCTCGTCGAGATGAGTTTCTTGTGCAGATGATAGAGCGCCTCCTGGAAATCACCGTAGACGGACTCGCCCACCACGGTCGGGTAGAAGTTCTCGGCGATCGGCAACTTGCTGCACTCGTAAAACAGCAGCAGGGAGTCGAGAACAATTTGGAAAGAATCAACGGAGAACTCAAACTGCCGTCTCATGGAATCGACAAATTTGAGCTCGACATTTCGATGACCTCGAGAGTTGCCGAGGGAGATCAAGGACCATCGGTCACCGTCGTTATTAACCTTCACCATCTTGCTTACGTATGCCTCCTTTAGGCTACAGGTGGTAATGCGTTTTCGGCTCACGCCCTCCGGCAGCAAGTCGAACAAGGAGCCGAGCACCGCGGCCTTGACCTTGTCGTAATTACGGCCGCTGGACAGCTCGACCGCGAAGATAAGGTCCAGGTCGTTGTAGGGTTGGGATTCAGTGGCCAGCACGTGGGAAGCGGCGCCGCCGTTCAGCCGGATGTCGCGTACCCTCATGCCGGCGCCCCCGTTGCTCGGATCGGTTTCCAGCTTGCTGCGCACCACCGTCACGAGATCCCTCAATCGGACCTCCAAGGTGGGGAAGTTCCCTCGGCCGTGAATGCTGACGACTTCGTTCATCACGTCGTTCAGGCGGCGGACCTGCTCGAAACTCAGCACCGCCAACCTCTGCTGAGGATCCGGACAATCGGTAGCATTGCTGTTGTTATTGTTGTTGTTATTATTTTTGTTGTTGTTGTGGGTATTGTTATTGTTGTTCGTATTGTTGTTGTTGGTTTCGTTGCTAAGGTCTCCGTTGGTCTTACTGCCGTTCACCTGGCAGAGTGACTCCATCATAGCGACCCGACGCTGGCGTTCCTCGCCGATCTCCAGAGAGCCACACTGCAACAATCACAAAAGACGAAGACTTTTATGCGATTCTCTTGCAAGCGATATTGAATCACGTAAACGAACATTGTAAACCTTATAGTTTCATTTGATTAATTATAGAGATCTTTCGATAAGAAAATACATAAAATCAAGATCTTCTATTTTTCGTAGTAAAGAATTTTGTATCATCTATGTGAAATCTTGGTAAAAAGAAGAAAGAATGTACAAAAATATCTTTCTGTTATACGACTTCCAAGTAAATTTTTCTTAAATAATTTTTCCCAAAATCTTTGTTTCTAATGAGGAGATTGTTAGTCTCCATAAAGCTTTCGATGTTATTCTTTAAACAATTTATTATCCACATTATTCGCATTTCGTATCGTAATCTTTAACAGCAGCAATAAATCTTAAACGCGCGCAAATTTCTTTTAAGCCATTCATCTATGAAAAAAAATGCGCATGAATATGCAAATACGTTATATTAATTAAACGGAAAATTGTAACTTTTTGATAAATGTAAAATCGCGATGATAAAGGTCATCGTATGTTAATGCTCTCGAAACTCGCGTGATGTTGTACAATGTCACAATTTGACCCACGGAACGGCAGACGCGCGCGCGAGATTAAAGGTCAGTGAAGGTAAAATAAAAAGTTCACGTTTTTAACGTCTCTCCCGCATCGCGCGAATTTCCGACGAGTGCATCATCGAGCGCGCCCTTCGGTAAGTATCTATGTCATAGTGCTCGAAGTGGTACGGGTGCACGGCGAGAAAATGCCACGAGGTTACGTCCGGGTGCGCAACGCAAGCCGGTGCAAGCGTGCATTCAAAGCCCCCCTCGGCTGTTGGCTTTTGTGCGCCGGATTCGGAAGAACGCAACAAGTCGATACTCCGCGCGATACTCCGCTGATATCTTTTTTATCCCTGAAATTTCAATTTGTGCGACGATCGAGCACGCATTTCCTTGAACTATCGAAAGCAGTAATTGCGAGTAATTGCGATCCACCGCAAGATATAGTTTAGGAATTAATTTCACGGGGTGAGATCTCGAAGCCGATTTTTTTCTCTCTTGACCGAAAAAACACCAGTATCCGCCGTAACGAGAACTGACGTCACTCGTAATGAATTTCTAGCTCGTATCCCGCGTTCGAGTTGCGTCTCCCGCAACAGAGCTTTGCGCGGCGCCAACCTGTCGCCAGAAATCAGCCTATCGGTTATTATCAGACTTGCTTGTATGTGTGTACCGTGTACGTGTTTCTAGATAATAGGTACTTTTTCAAAAGCAATTATGTCACGAAACCAGATTCGTAGTATGACGCCACGAAAGATATGTGACCGGGAGTTCGGGCTCTTTAATCTCGAGCAGAGTTTTTAGAAGCGCATCGCGAGGTCTAGACACGCTATATAATCGCCCGGATTGCTGAATATCGAATGATAACAGAAAGATTGCGGAAGAAAAAGATAACGTGTAAAAAATTATATTGGAAGTGTTTCTCGAATCGCAGCTGATCGAAGATCGCGAATGAAAGGAGTTAACGGAGGCGAGAAGAGGCGCCGCAAGAGTTGTAGAACGTCCTATATACACGGCTATGAGAAAGCTGGCGTCGATTTAGCGAAGGTCGTGTCTCGGGGACGAACCGAGAAGTCCGAACTGAACTTCGGTCTTGTATTAAACTGCTGAAATTAGTTCTGATTGAGTGTCGCAGACGAGAATTGATTGGATAAAGTAACGATGATAAAATACATTTCCGGCGTGCGATTTCCGGAGTATCCATTAGCGAAGAAAATTATTCGGCAATCGCGCGTCAATGAGCGAGCGTCGCTTCCCGCGTATATCCGAAAACGTCAATTTTCCCACAAGCTTATACAATCCCCTTTTATTCAGCCCCCACGATTGACACAACGTTTCGAAACAGCAAAGCGAGCTATCATCTCTGTCAGACACTACGCGCAATCAAGATCATGGATATGCCTTTGACGCGCACAAAGTAAAACCACTATTACCGCTTATTGACACGAGAGCGCTCGCGGACACGCGGAAGTACGGATACGTTTTCGAAACGTATCAGTCTCCCCCGTGACATTTTCGTCACCTCTCTATTTCTCGACAAGGCGTGCTCCGAAAACTCACATTTTTTTTCACAACCGTGTCATTCGCTTCGAGGTAAAATCATATTATAAAATTTTGAGTCTCGATCTACGGAGACGAAATTTTAATGATCGCGATAGATTAGGATTTGTTGCTCAGTTTTAGTTTGCACTGCCGTTGTTTTTACGTATTAAATACTTTCGAAACAACTGATTACACTACGGTTTAGCAGTTCTAACTCGCCTGGAGACAACAGTTTCAACGTGACAACTTCGCACGCTCGTCAGACGTGCGTCATAAATAGAGGGGTTTACTCACGTAAGTCACCGTATTCTCGAACGCTTATATTATTATTCGGTTACTTTCGTACGACCCGCGAAAAGAAAACGAGCGAGCGAATCCTCACGAACCGGCACGCACCTTCTTTTGAAACTCTGACATGACAACAGAGAGAAAGCACCACTCGTACAATAATTTGGAACGTATACCGAACACGCTATCGCCGCGCGTCGCGATATCGTTCCCTTAACGCTGGTACGCGATAACGTGAAAAAAGGTTGTTCCGTAAAAGAAGTCCCTTTCGTAGAAGTAAGAACGGTGATAAATCACGTTTTTTCCGGCACTTAACATCCGAGGAATATTCACTCGACTGTGTATTTATACTCGGAGCGAGTTCAATGAGCGGTGCGCGTCCCTCAGATCGACGCTCCTCGGCGGGCTGCGTAAGACGCAATAGCGACGAGGGGAGACTGAATATCCACGGATCCACAGGTGCGACGCAAACAAACGCGTTTCCCAGGAGGCCGCGGAAGGCCGCGTAAACGCAGGAGCGCGCCGAGAATCACTGAGGTAGAGAAAAAGAGAGAGAGAGAAACGCGGGGTATATCTACCTAAAAAAACAGAAGATACAACGTCGGATCGAACACAGATAGTACAACGTCGGACTTGGTTGGCTTTCGCTTGAAGAGACCCGCAGCTGATGAGAGACACCAGCGAACTGGAGGCCCGCGCGAGTGAAAGGCGGAGGAGCGGCCGGAGGTGGTGGCAGCAGCGGCAGCAACGGCAGCAACGGCAACCGCAACCGCAGCAGCAGCAATACCAGCGACACTCGGGGGGGTAGAGGAGGGCAAAGCAGGGTACGAAGCTCTCTACTACCGCGCTACTACTGCCGCGACTACTACTACCACCACCCAGCACCACCACCACCACCACCATCATCGGCCGCTACCATTAGCAGACGTAATCCTGGACCTATGTAGACGTAGATCGCTGTGCGCGCATCCTCGATCGCCTCGTCTCTGTCTTTCTTTACTCCTCTCCGCTCCGCCTATCGCGCGCGCGCGCGAGCGCGCGGGGTAGTGAATGCTCCGATGCTTTCCGTGACGTCATATGGAAGACTTGCGGGGGCGGCTCTGAATGAAGAGCGTAGTTCGTGAGGGTAGATTCGATTCGGCTCTTTCTCTCCGCCCCTCGCTCCTCTTTCTCTCGGATACGGGGTGTCCCAGTGGTAACGGGGGTGTCGATAGTTAGGAATTAATGGCTGGAGAATTGTGGAAAATCGAGGATCAGTTCGAGTACGGCGATCTGGACCTCTAAGACGGCGAAACATTGCGAAATCTCTGCGCCTTCTTCTTTCGTTCGGCTAATCTATCTTGCGGCATTTAATTTGAATCGATTTCATCTCGCAAAAACGCGTAAATTCTCGTGGGACCCCCGTCGGAGGTTATAAAAAAAATTGCGATTTACGTCCGGTAGTTGCGCAAAAGATTGAAATACCGAGAAACGTCATGCAAAATTGAATCGCTGCGCTTTCCACGAAATGTGTTACGTTATACATGTATGTACATAGGTATATATGACGGGATGCGCAGCAGTATGTTGATATTAACTGCTTTCGACTCAAACGCGACTGGAGTATCATTTCCGGAACGCGCCGTTTGTCTAAATTAAAAAGTAAATTAAAAAAACCTAACCAATCTTTCTGCAAAATATCACAGAGAAACGTTCTTCTCGTATAGTGACTTGCAAACTTTCTCACAGCGAGTTTTGCGCGCAAATAGAGAAATGTCCGAAAATGAGGGAAAAAATTGTCCCTTTCTAACGCTCCTCTCGATATATCATTAGATCTCCACGAAATGACTTCTCGCGAAACAATTAAATCCCGTATAAGGTACCAAGATGGAAACGAAATAATTGTTCGTTCAATTGTTCATTCCGCAGGAAATGAAAGTACATCAGCGGATTAAATTGCTCCGCGACTTGGAAAAGAACCTGGAGCGGAGCTCTCTCGGTCGTCGAAGCGCGGGCCACAAAGACGTCGGGAACACCCGGTGTACATCGAGGAGCGGCGTATGAACGCAGAAAGGAAAGGGGGGAGAGGGCAGAGACACGCGTCACGGAGGTAGGTATATACACTTTATACACATATATATATATTTCTGGACGCCCACGCGGCTTCGCGTCGGGGGAGATGGTCTGGACCAACGAGGCGGCGACTCGCCAAGTACTATCGATTTTATCCTCCTCGACACCCGCCCGCAGTCGTCAGCCTACGTCAAAACCGGTCGCGGGGTGATCGCGTTTACGTTACGCGCTCGCGCTATTTCGCGCCGAGCGAAACCGTAACGAAAGTATCGCTGCCTTTATCCCTACCCTCCTCCTCCCCCACACCCCCAATCGCGCTTTCTCGGCCGATTTTATCGTGAGAAGAGAAATTTCGTCGGGTGGTTATTTATCGCCGGGTTGCCGGCGCGGCGGTTCAAAACGGTGGTCTCGCCGGCGCGGCGCAGCGGTTCCACGGCATTTTCGTCGCTCCGCGCAGACTCGGTGACATTACGAACGTCGGAACGCCGTGACGGAACTTTTTCCCTTTCTTTTCCATCTTTTCGCCGTTTTTCCTCGATATTACAGAATAACACCGCGCCG